AGTCAGAACTGACTCCACGGTACTTAACAACAACAACATATGCCATCTGGTGAGAGCCAAGTGTACAGTCATCTTTTATGTTGTTTAAACAAGATATTTGCAATGAGTAAGTCATTGGTTTTTCAAAACTCTCTCATGCGATCTCCAGCATCGTTTCTATCACCAAGGCCTATTTTCCAACTACTGAGCCTTCCTCTTTGTTTCCAACCTTTGCATTCCAATCACTAGCCATTATCACTATACCTTGCATGCTTGGTAGTTAAGGATCTGTAAACTGATGTCCCTAAAATGCTCCCTGCCCATTAGCCCTCGGTACATGTACCGCAGTTTAAACACTGCAGCTCTAACATCCACAGCACGGGGAACCTGAATCTGGGTTAGTCCAGGGTAGACTGGGCCCTGGGGTTTCTACAACTCATGGTGAGTCCTTCCGGTACCTTCCACTATTCACATAGCCCAGATGGAGACAGGAGGTACCCAATCCTGGGATGATGTTTCGCTGTGTACCTAGCTCTCCAGACTTTAGCAGTGACCCTCCCCCACCCCAAGCCTGGAGAAGGAAGGGAACTAAGAACTGGGAAGAGGGAGAGTGGTACCTCCTCAGACATACATGTTTGGGGTAGTATGCAGAATTAGCCCTGGGCCAGAAGACTCTGAGTTCAGTGAGAGACTCACTTTCCTGAAATCTCTCCTCCCCTTCTGAACTTCTTTATGTCTCAAACCGTCACTGGGCCTACAGCACAGGCTGCCCCTTGTAGTTCATTCATCCCAACCAGACCACTGGGTCTGCCATGGCTCTTGTCCCCCAACCGTGGCCACACAGCCACACCCAGGGCTGTCATTAGCTCAAGGCACCCCCATGCAAAACAGCTGCTCAGGCCTGTGCAGTTAGGGATCACACTTGTAATCCTGAGGGTTTTCACTGGCTGCATTTTGGCAGTAGATTGCCAGGCCTTTCCTCCTAGTGCTCGTAAAACTGGCTATCCAGTTTCAGAAAAATGGAACGTGATCCATACCTCATACCATATAAAAAAACGTAACTCAAGACAGATAGATCAAAGACCTAACTGTAAAACCAAAAACTCTAAAGATCATGGAAGAAGAACTAAGGACAAACTTAGGGACCCTAAATTATGGCATAAATAATCTATAAAAATTCAAACCAGTAGAAGAGAATATAGACTGGAATTGCCTAAAAATTAAACATTTATACGTACCCAAAAACAAAAAACCTTTGCAAGAAAAAAGAGAAGCTACAGGCTAGGGAATAAAAAAAAATTGACAATTACATACCTGACAAGGGACTAATCAATCTCTAAAATGTATAGAAAACCGCAACATCTCAACAACAAAAAGGTAAACAAGCCAATTCAAAAATGGGCAAGGGCATGTACAAATACTTGACCAAAGAAGACACTGAGATGGCCAAAAAAATAGGTAAAGAGATGCTTGCGATTATTAGCCATTGTTACTGTTATGAAGTGCTGTTGAGTATGTTCTGACTTATAGCAACCCAGTATAGGGTTTCCAAGGAGCAGCTGGTGAGCTGGAACCACGGATCTTTTTAATTTTTTTTTTTAAATAAATGTTTTATTGTGAATTATTTGACAGTTTACATGGGAAAACATTAGTTTTACAGTCATTCTATCGTATATCATTTCATTGCCATGGTTACAAGCCTGCAACCCCCCCATAAAGGCTGGGTAGAGTCGGTCTGTGAGGAGGGGCTGAGCACCCTGTGACTTTGCCTACTCACTCATGTCCAGGACAGGACTGAGCCCAAAAGTGAGTGTGACATAGACATGGATGAGCCTGGGAAATATGCTGAGTGAATTAAGATACAAAAAAAGTGTTGCATGATCCCATTTATAGGAACTATCTCGAATAGGCAAATGCGTAGAGACCACAGTTTCATAGTGGTTACCACACAGCCAGACTGCTGCTTAGCAATCAGGATGGCAAGATTTTGTCTCGTGTACCTTGGACATGTCAGAAGAGATCGGTCTGGAGAAGGACATCTTGCTTGGCAAAGTCAAGGGTTAGCAAAAACCAGGAAGACCCTCAAGGAGATAGACTGACACAGTGGCTGCAACGATGATGTAAGACATACAGAGGGACAAACACAACGGCACCTACCAACATCCCCACAGGCTGGGGCAGGAGGAAGTGGGAACACTCAGTGCTCACGGGGCAGCAACGGAATACCATTTAGGGTGAAGAAAAATGTGGAAATGGCTAGTGTGATGGCTATGCAATACAATAAATGGAATTAGTGTCACTGAATGGTACACAAAAAATGGTTCAAATGATGGCATCTGGTTATAGGTCTCTCCCCACATGCACACAATGCGAGTGACAAAGACTCTTTCAGGACCAGTTTCAGTTCTGAAATTTACTGCAGGTCTCAGCTCCAGCAGCTCCTGGTATGTCCGGTGTGTATGGGGTGGAGGTGGTGGAAGGGTGAGAATGACCTTAGTTTAGGATTTGGGAGATTTGGGGAGATGTGCATTTAGAGACAAATCTGCTGCTAGCTCAAGAAATTCTTGCCACTACTGGGGACCCTGTTTTCCTATCTGTTAAGTGACACATGGAGCTAGACAGCAGTGGGTTTCATGCTTTCTTGACAATAACCCACAAGAACAAACCACGTTACACTGTGCCCCAGAGGTTAGCTGTCATCTAGTCCGTGCTGCCTGGCGGCGACTCCATACATGTGATATACAAGTGCTCTCTGGGGTCTGTGGACAGCGCCCTTTCAGGAGCACACTGTCAGGCCTGTCTTCTGAGGTACCTCTGGGTGGGTTTGAACCACCCACCTTTTGCTTGTGGTTGAGTGCTTAACTATTACGTTGCTCAGGGACTCCTGTGCTCCACCTGTCTACATATAACTGAACAGAACAGCAATACTCACACTGAACCGCTTTCATTGGTCTACTTCATTTTTAAAGCGCCACACTGACTAAATGAAGCAGGGATAAGTTGGGGCCCAGTGATTGTAAAAAAGCCAGCTCTCCCCCACGATGGGTGCCACAGCAGAGGCCAGCACCCACAAGGCAGAAGGGAGGTGGGGTCCCTGCTCTGCCCTGGGCTGTCCCCTGGGCCCCAGTACCTTTTCAAGTGTTCCAGCAGGAAGAGGAAGGTGATGAGATTGGGGTCGGGCAGGGAGCGGAGCAGGTGCATCATGCAGTTTTCCTTGGCAGCAGGGTCTGACAGGGCTGAGGGACAGACAGGGAGACAGGTTGTCAGGCTGAGGGACCCAGAGGGATGGGGAAAGCCCAGACTGACCATGCACAGAAGCACCTGCTGTCTGAACGTGCTGTACCAGTTGGTTCCTACCAGAGGCTCCCCAACAACTGGTAAGTCAGCCAGAAGACAGAGTTGGTGGGCTGAGGGAGCAGACCTCCTGCTTTCCCTTCTGCCCAGGCCTTCGGCACCCTCAGGCTGTTTTAAGACAAAGGTGACATTTGCTGCCAATGGTGTGAATGTCTTTTCTTCAACCACTGCTGAGGCGGCAGCCTGCTCAGGGCTCCTCATTCCCTGCACACTGGCTCACTCATCTCAGCCAGGAGAAGAGAAAGCCCAGAGGGCTTCCTGGGCCCTGCCAGTTGGGACCTTCCGCTCCCTCCCTGACTCAGGGTGTAAGGTAAGAGGATGACAGTGTGGTTATAAGCCATCTCCAGGCTGCTGGCCCCTGACTGCCCACCTCAGTTCCCAAGCACGGAGTCTACTGTCCAAGTAGGAAGTAGAGAGAGTAGTCCATGGAGTCAGTGAGGGGAGAGAGGCAGCTGAGAGGGTCCAGTTCTAGGTCAGCACCAGTGGGCCACATGGCACCCTCTAGGCACACAGGGTAGCACTGATGAACAAGGGGAGCCAGAGATGTGGTCTCCTGTGTGGCCCAGCCCATCCCTGAGGGGCCTCACCAATGCCCTCCATAAAGGCTGGGTAGAGTCGGTCTGTGAGGAGGGGCTCGGGCAGCTCCCGGAAGTAGAGCTTGAGGGTGCCAGCAATGGCGTTAATGTCCATGTCACTCAGCATCAGCAGGATGTCCTTGTTGTCTGTGGAAGGAGATGTGAGGTCAGGGTCCCGGGCAGCTCATAGTCAGCCCTTGGCTGGGCAGGCAGCCCTGTTCCAACCCCTCACACGTACTGAGAGAGCCCAGCCAGGAGCACCCCACCCATTCCACTTCTGGTTCTGGTCTCCAGAAAGGCAAAGGTTGTGTGTGACTCATCTGTCAGGGGTGGGAGGCAGGAGTGCCCTGTCACCACCCAGAGTTCTGGAACCACATTCACACCATGTGGTATATACACCCTCCTTCCAACTGGAATCTCCTCTTTGCTAAGCACCTCGCTGGAAGGGACTGCACATTTTTTACACCTAAACTCATGTTCCAGCAAAGCTTCAGCTTTCAGGCTACACAGGGGAGCCAAGTGTCAGCACGTCCCCAGCATCCTGTCCTGTCCTCTGTCCCTGGTCACTCCCCCTGGTCAGTCAGGCTTCTGGGCTATTGGGTCTCCCTGCTGCTGCACCTGAACCAGCAGGGAGAAGAAACCAGAATGGGAAATGCCCCCCTTTCCCCTCCCCCAGCTATGCTAAAGGCAGAACTGAACCTCCTGAAAGGTACTAAAGGCCCTCAAGGAGCTAGGGAGAAGCTCAGCCAGCCAGCCCAAACTCAAAGCACTTTAGTTTTCCCTAAGGTCACGAGGTCCCCAGGAGCCCAGGAAGAGAGACTCTGGAGTCAAAAAGATCTGTGTTTAATCCAGATGCAGAGCCTACCAGCTGGGTGATACTGGTTAAGTTACTTGGCCTCTCTGAGCCTCAGTTTCCTTACCTGTAGCAATGGGTAAGAGGCTGGAGGGGGTGGGATGGTCTGATTCCAGAAGGTACATCCCCACCATGCCATGCTGGACTATGGGCCACAGACTAAGGTGCCTCTGCCGTCAGCTAACCCAGCCCTCCAGTTTCCGCTGAGCAGTGCGCCCACCAGCCCCCAGCATCTCGGCTGGGACCCCTGGACTCACTGGCATCAAAGACGGCCTTCAGTGCCTGGATGTCCGTGGCCACCCCTGATATCCGGTAGATGCCGACCTCCTCAATGCCTCTCTTCTCCACCTCCTCCACACACTGCCTGACGATGTAAGGCACCTTGGAGCGCTCCCGCCTGAGGAGGGGCAGGCAGGTCAGGGGGAGGGGCTACCCTCTTGCCACCCCCACCAACACTCCTTAGCCTTGGAGAGCTCAGATTGGGAGGGTGAGGCAGGAAAGGGCTAAGACTCAACACCTCCACCTGGACTGAGGCTTTCGGGGCCTCAGGTAGCAGATAACCTGGGAGACTCTGGGGAAAGAATTCCTCTAGTGCAGAGGTCTCAGATTCAAATGTTTATGGGGTCCCCTGGTAGGTAAGCTACATGAGTATGGTGGGGCAGCCGGTCCTGGAGATAAAGGAAACCTGATGGGGGTGGTTGTGGTGAATTGAGGACCGTGCCCTTCCCAGAGGGGCAGCCAGGATTTGGATTGCGTCAGATCTTCCCACATATCACAGGGAGCCGACAAATGGGGGTTTTCCCATGAAACTGGGAGATGGCTCAGTGTTGGCTCACTCATTTCTAAAGCAACATGGGAGCCAGGGCACACTGCTCTATGCACCACCACATTTGCCCTTCAAATTGGCTATGTGTGCTAACCACCCTGGATGGTGACTGGTCAGGGGCCAGGCGGGCCTGAAGGCAGGCACTGGCGGGACCTGGGCAGCCATCCCTGTCCCCAGACCTCAGAAGCAACACGTACTTAGTCACCACGCTGATCTTCACACCAAAGACGCCTGTCTGCTTCTTGGATGGTGTTCTTTTGAGGCTCATGTCTCGGCTGGTGAATTTCATGGAGAATTCCACTTTAATCTGGTCAGGGGTGAGGCAGGGCATGAGTGCCCAATTAGCAGCTCACAACACACAGGGCTCCCTCCCCAGGACTGCAGACAAGGGCTACCTCTGGCACCCAGCTTCTCTGGAACAGCTGTGGGATGGGGTGGGCAGGGGAGAGGGGCAGGGATGGGCAGTAACGGGTGGAGGTACCCACTTCACAGACACTACATATCTCTCAGCTCACCCCATTCATCTCGATCACATCTGTGTGCCAGTTCTTAGTTTCCACCGTCTGTGGATCCAACTGCAGAGAAAGAAAGGGAGAGAGATGACAACTTTGGAGACCCAGCCAGAGTTTTCCCTGCTCCCTAGAGAAGGCCTACTCTGTGGGTGTGTGCATGGCCAGGAAGGAGGAAGCGGGCCTTGGTGCTCTTTTTGAAATCAAACCTTCAGGAGGCTCCATTTTCCAAAGAGGAATTCCCCTGACCCTTCCAGACCCTGTAACAGATGGCTAGGGCACACCATTTGGCTCTTCTGCCCATCTCATCTCGCCCTCCCAACCATCCTATGGGATAGGTATTATCACCCTTTTACAGCTGCAGAAATTGAGGTTTTAAGCCACTTGCTCAGCCACAGAGTTAGTGTTGGCAGGAGGGTAGACTCAGCAGTACACACAGGTGTTGAATAGGAGACAGTGTGAGGGAGAGGTTAAAGGCCCAGTCTCTTAGCCTCGGTTTGAATCTCAGCTCTGCCTCTTCCAGCTGTGTGACCATGGGCACTTTTAAACCTCTCTTTAGCCTTGGTTTCTTCATCTGTAACGTGCAGCCAGTGATAGAACCTGCCTCAATGGACCGGTGTGAGGATGTGGTAAGATAACTTGGGTTGAGTAATTAGTCCCCAAATAATCAAACACTCCTCAAGGGAGGCCTCCACGACTTGGGCTGGAGCCCCAAGAGATGTGGACAGCGAGGGCCAGAGCTGTCCCTTGTATGGGACCACAGAAGTCTTGGTCTCTTAACTGTTCATCCGGCGCACCCACAGAATGATTTTGAAAAAACCATGCAATCCTTGGCACATTTTAGAGTTGACATCTTAATATTTCCGTGGCAAGTCTAAATACTTGCAAAGAATATCACTCCCAGAATAATGTAAATATTGACATCTTAAAATAAAACTGTTACATCATCCCTTCATGTGTATTCACTGGAATCTAAATACCATAGTGATTTGATACCCACCATCATCCACTTAAAAAATGCATGATCAAGCTGTTTCCCCTGCAGACACCCTGCATCATTCCCTTCTCTACATTAATTTATACTTCTTTCCTGCTTCTCCCCAGGAATTTTGTACTTTTTCATACTTTCATATTTCAAAGTCTTTTGTCACTCTCATAATAGTTCACGTCAGCAAAAATGTAAGAATAAATTGAAAATTTTAACTTCCTGAGTATTCAAGATGTATTTTGGATTCACTGTTATAGTGATTGGTGGTGGTGTTAGCGGACACGGGATCAGCCCTTGACTCATGGTGACCCCAGGTACGATGGAACAAAACCCTGCCTGGTCCTGCTGCCATTCCTGTGGTAGGCTGTGGATCACGCCATGTGATCCACAGGTTTTAAGTGGCAATTTTCCACTGACAGATGGGTGGTGGCTGGGCATGTGGTGCACTGGCCAGGAATCGAACCTGGGTCTCTAGCATGGAAGGCTGGACCACCACTACTCCCATACGTTGTATGCCATCAAGTCTATTCTAACTGACAGCCACCCTACATAACAGGGTAGAGCTGCCCATAAGGTTTCCTAGGCTATAATCCTATAGGAGTCCTGGTGTGACGCTGCGGGTTAATGTGTCAGACAGCAAAGCCATTGGAACTGCAAGGTTGGTGGTTCAAGCTCACCAGCTGCTCCTCAGAAACCCTATATAGGGTTGCTATGGGTCGGAACTGACTCTGTGGCACTTCACAACAACAACAATCCCATAGGGGCAGATCGCCGGGGTTTTTCTCCCCCGAGTCGTTGGTAGATTTGAACCACTGATCATTCAGTTAGCAACCAAGTGATTAACTACCGTACCACCAGGGTCTCCTTGTTACAGTGGCTAGCGGTACGGTGGTGTTAAGTGTCATCTGAGGAGTAGCTGGTGGGTTTGAACTGCTGACCTTGTGGTTCACAGTCTAGTGCTGATCCTACATTGCCAATCCAGCAGTATGTTACTCAAGTAAAAACTAAGCCAACACATTCCACATTTTAGTAAGGAGTAAGTAGCCCAGTAGCATTTTGCTGGAATGATCTCTCAATGAGGTGGACAGAGCATCTCCCTTTCTCGTTCATGTACCGATACGAATATTGTTTTCCTGGAGTGAAACAAGAGTCAGTATCAGTCTGTTCATTTTGTTTGAGTTTTGTTTTTAAAAATCTTGTTCCCATAAGTAAGTGGTTGATGGTTATGTGCCACAAACTCAGTTCTGACCCATAGCGACCCTGCATAGGGTTTCTGAGGCTGTAAATCTTTATGGGAGCAGAAAGTCTCATCTTTCTCCGGCAGAACAGCTGGTAGTTTCGAACTGCTGACCATGAAGGTTAGAAGTCCGATTTGTAACCACTACGCTAACTAGAGCTACCAGAGCTCCTTCATTAAAGTAAGTTCTGAAGGGGCAAAAATAAAAAGTACGAAGGGGCTTTAAAATGTGTGGGGATAATCCCAATATTTTATTTTTTTTTAAGTTTTTATTGTGAATTGAGTGATAGTTTACATCGGTTTTACACTTATTGTTTCATTGCAGTGATTACACCAGCAAACAGTCTTTTCTCTTTCCAGGAGTCTAGAGTCCTCAGCTGCTCTCTCTCCATGTCCTCATCTCTGCCTCCATCTCTAGTGTCGCTGCTTCTCTGTAACCTCATTATTTTTTAATTCCACATACTTTTGGAAGGCTTCTCATGTTTTATTAGAAAGCAATGCTCTACAATTCTTTGAACTCTTTCCACACTGTTAAGTGCCATCAAGTTGGTTCCAGTGTAAAGCGACCAACTATAGGGTTTCCAAGGAGCAGCTGGTGGGTTTGAACTGGCGATCTTGTGGTCCAGTGCTTACCCTACAGTACCACATCAGGACTCCTTTCCACATTACTTGCTTTAAATAATATCTATCGCTATTGTAAGGGTTCTTTTAAATAACCTTGTAGGTGAGAGTCAGGTGCCCCATGAGGTTTTTGGAAAGCACTTGCCTGGTGGAAGGTAGAACTGGTGACCCGGTCACTGGTCTTTAATTTCTCAGCCTCCACACCAGCATTTCAGATGGCCCTCTTGTTTGGCACTCAGGAGGTCTAGGCACCTTGGGTTTTCCCTTTGCAGTGGGACAAAAGGGCTGGGAAGTCTGTTTGGGGCAGTAGTACTTACGGCAGTTGTTGCTGTTAGATGCTACCGAGTTGATTCCAACTCCTAGTGACCTTAGTTATGTCCACCAGAATGAAATACTGCCCCGTCCTGCATCTTCCTCACAATCATTGTAACTCTTGAATCCATTGCTGCTGCTACTGAGTCAATCTGTCTCACTGGGGGTCTTTCTCTTTTTTACTGACCCTCCACTTTACCTAGCATGATGACCTTTCTCCAGGACTAGTTCCTCCCAATAATACGTTCAACGTATGAGAGAAGAAGTTTTGCCATCCTGACTTCCAAGGAACATTCTAGCTGTACTTCTTCCAACAGAGATTTATTTGGCCTATCAAGCTATTGGAAATTACATGGCTTCGGTCAGGCACACCTTAGTCCTCAAGCTGACATCTTTACTCTTGAACACTTTAAAGAGGTCTTGTGTAGCAGATTTACCTAATGCAACATGTTGTTTGATTTCTTGACTGCTGCTTCTATGAGTGTTAGTGGATCCAAGCAAAAACGAAGTCTTTGACAACTTCAATCTTTTCTCTATTTATCATAATGTTACTGATTGGTCCAGTAGTGAGGATTTTTGTTTTCTTTATATTGAGGTACAATCCATACTGTAGTCCGTGGTCTTTAATCTTCATCAGCAAGTATTTTAAGTTCTCTTCACCTGATGTGGTGCTGCAGGAGAATGCCTGGACTGCAAAGTTGGTTTGAACTGTAAGATCGGTGTTGTGAACTCACCAGCTGCTCCTCAGAAATCCTATATAGTGTTGCTCTGAGTCTGAACTGACTTGATGGAATTTAACAACACTTTCAGTAAACAAGGTTGTATCATCTGCATATCACAGGTTATTAATCCTGATGCCATGTTCTTCATATAATCTAATTTCCGGATTATTTGCTCAGCATACAGATTAAGTATGGTGAAAGAATACACCCTGGTGCACACCCTTCCTAATTTAAACCATTCAGTGTCCCCTTATTCTGTTTGAACAACTGCTTCTTGGTCAAGTTTCTCATGAGCATAATTAAGTGTTCAGG